TGGTGGGAGCCCAGTGACAGAGCCCTTGTCCCCAGTGTCTGCTGTGCTGTGTGATTGCAAGGGAGAGCCGTAATTGCCCAGTGCCTCAGTTTCCTCATCTGAAAAGTGGACATGACAGCACTGCGCTCACATGCCCGCAGTCGTCTTCTGTGCAAGACGACTGGCTCAGGTGTGTGAACTTTCATGTAAATTCAAAAGGGTTTGTTGGGTCGCAGGGGTTGTGGTCCAGCTGCTTAGTGGATTGAGGTGGGCTGAGTGGAGGGGCCAGCTCTGGCCTGTGCCACTCCCACATCATTTTTCAGCAGGGATCAGAACCAGTTGCTGTTGCAAAGGTGAAAGAAACCCTGTGTTTAGGTTTAGGGGATACTTTGCCCAGGGCGAAAAGCTATTAGTGAGAATATACTTTGTATCCTGAAGTATGAGTGTTTATTTTCTTTGTAAAGCTTTTGTTGTAGAATTCAGCTGTGTTTGTTTGTTATTTCCTGGCTGTTTTGTAATACAAGGAAGTGTTTGGTATGTTTGTTTGGGTTTTTTGTGTATGTTTTTCTTACATCTAGACAATATTTTTACTCCAGTGACTTACGTATATATACAAATTCAACTCAAGCAATTCTTTAGTTTAACATGTTCTAAATCACTTCTGTTCAATGGGGAAAACCAAGGAGTAATGACGCTGGGACTATCAGCCCCAAAGGAAGAAAGAAGGTAAAACTGACTGTAAACCAGATTGCAGATCAAATCAGTGTTTCCTACGGTGTCAGAGCTGACGCCAATTAACTTGATTTAAAAAAAGAACCTTCAGTGTTTAATAATCCAGCATGTTACTAACACGTGGCTCCAGGATTTATTAAGGCTTTTTTATTAGATGAGTGCCCTTTTAATATTGTCATGCCTTGACACCATTGCCCTCTGCCGGAGGATGTGAAATCTCTTTCACCATGTGGCATAGCCCTTCTGCTTGCAGCATGTCAAAATACATTTCTGCCAAGGAAAGTCCTTCCAAACTATGCAAAACACCTTTGTTTTAGAAGTATTTTAACTCCCAAATCGCTTACATTTGAGCTGGTGATTTTTCGCCTGATTTTTCAAAACTGAAAAAAGAAAGTATACTTTCTGTAGTGGAAAATAGAGTTTGATCTTTTTAACTAATTCATGTTTAAATTTCTTCCTCCTCCTTCTTTTCCCTGTGGAGGAGGAGATAGCAGAAGCCTAAAATTGACAATCTGAACAAAGCCAGGTTTTGTTTTGAACGTTTTCAGTGGGAAAAGGAGAGTGGTATTATGATGGGGCAGGGGTAGAGTGAATGCCTTGAAGAGGAGCATAATTTTCCCCAGACTAATTTTTGGCTAGCCTCACTTGTGCAGTAAACAGCAACAAAAAGCATCGTTTGGCTTTGGTAGCGAGGGATTTTTTTGGATGCAGGGAAAGCCCTCTGTCTTGGGCTGCGAAGCTGTGACTTCTCTCACCAGCAGTGTAAAATTGTGGGCGGCCACGTATTCCCTAGCTGATGTTGTTCACAGGAGAAAATGGATTTCACCTTTTGCAGCTTCAACATGTGATGGTGAGGTGGGAGCGTGGCTGAGAACTGGCATCACCCTGCACTGAGGCCCTCAATTGCGTTAGCGTGTTGGGAGGGAACACGCTTGAAATACTTCATCTGTATCCAGATTTTGTAGTGCTCACAGCAGCCCCAAGTGAATTCTTACGGTGTCCTTCAGTCAGGCTTCTCAGGGTCATCAATAAAATCAAATCGCTTCAGGAATTAACTGTGAGCAAATGTCTTGGCTGCAGAGCAGAGTACATGGTACACCATGGATGCCGACAGGCAGCTCCGTGTGCAGAAGCGTGGGGTCAGCAACTGGGGGTCAGGCTGTGGTCTGTGGCTCCACGTTCTCCCCCAGCCGACCATCGCCATCTGCGATTCGGATCCATACTGGGCTTGTGTCCCTTTGGCTGTGTGGAGTGCACTGTATATAGGGAAGGGAACATTAATTATAGCCACCGCGTGTGAGGTATCTGATTCACATCTGCAGCCCACAACTGCTGATGCCAATGGAGCTCAGCGTTCAGCCAGCCCCAGGAGGACATGGGGATGAAGCGTTTGCACAACAGAGCGCGCTGTCCCCGGCAGCTCTCTGCTGCCAGCCCGAGCAGAGCTGCAAAGCAAAGCCAACAGCTCTCTGCTGGGGCACAAGTGGGCTGTGTTGGCCCTCGGCAGCTGGAGCACCAAAGTGACAGATGATTGACCAGGGAGCTGCTAAATGCTCTGTAGCTAATTAAAAGGAATCGATCCTGAAGAGACCAATGCACAAATCGTTGGAGCCTGCTCGTTTTCCCCTGTGTTGAAAGCGTGGAAATCAGAGTAGCACCCCAGCCCAAAAGTGCCCATTCTCCATCATATGAAGCCCAGGGTCAGCCTGTCCTATGGGAGGATGCTGACAATTTGGGTCTGGATGGCAGGAGGCAAGGAAAAGGCATCTTTGAGGTAAGAGCACTGTGTTCAGAGGAAGCTGCCCTTGACAAACGGGGCATTTGATGCATGCCAGCCCACTGTGGCAGCTTGCCAGATGCTGTGAATTGACTCTGAGTGGCTCTTTTAGCATGCCATTTCCTCCCACCCCCTCTCCAGTGGCGGAGTCCTTTCCTTGGTGCATTTGCAGCGAAGGCACTTTACCAGGCAAGGTGTTCAGTCTTTTCAGAGCTGCCCTTTACAGCTCTGCCCTACAGGGATGCTCAAGGGACATGTTCTGGCTTTATTAGAGGATTGAGAGGATGCCAGCACTCAGTGCCCTCTGCTCAGGCAGTGACAGCAACTGCAGAGACAGCAAGGATGAGGTCAGATGCTCTTCCCTGAGGGCACTGTGCTTTGGCAGTGCTAGGCCAGCGGGATTTCTCTGGCTCTGAGAACTGGACAGGGATGCAGCAGAAGGCTGATGTTTGCTAGAATAATTCCTCCTCTTCCTCCATGGTTTATTTTGTCTGGATGAGGCTGCTTTCTCCAGTTCTGAAAAAAATAGGGACAAATCTGCATTGCTGGGAGATGCTTCCTTGAAAGTCTGCAGGGTGTCCAGCTGCACAGAGCATGCATATCCTTGGGCTGTGAAAAGCTTTTTCCTGCTGGGTCCCTGCACTTGACTGCAGGAAACCCTACTTTCCGTAGAACCCGATGTCTTTGGTTTAGAGGTTTGTTGTTGTTTCCTCTGAAGACCTGTCCAGAAGACTAGCTCCCTCTTATCACCTTCACTAGCTGCAGCTTGCCCCGATCCACCACAACCTCCTTCCATACCGCTGAGTCCTTGCATTTCCTAAATGCAGTTTGCCAGCACATCTGCTGATTGCGTCCTCTGACGAGGGTCTCCTGAGTGAGGCTTTGCCGCTGTGCACGGTGCTGGAGGAGTGTGGATGCACGTGAGGAGGATGGGTCCCCAGCTCCGTAGATGCTGGCACTGTGATCTCTGCACAGGTTTTTGTATGGGACGTGGCAGGTCTCTCCCTGGTGAGAGACCTCTGGGTGTGGAACTGGCTGTTTGCTAGAGTTGGCTGGAAATTTTTTGATGAGTTGGGTTTTTGTATGTGTGGAAAAAAAATGGATTCGCTAAAACTTTTGTTGAGGGACATTTACATGTCCCTTTTAAGGACAAAGGCCAACCTGTGTTTTCCCTACCCCTTGGAAGACCTGGTAAATTAATACCTCTGTGACTGAAGTGCTAATTTGGAAGAACCAGGTTCTGGCCAGCAACTTGAATATCCCTTGCTTGTACTTTAAAAGGACAACCCATCAGTTCTTGGAGCCATTTCACTTCAAGTCTTCCACTGGGCTCAGTGCCAGAGGGTGACTGTACAGCCCAGTGGTCAAGGCGTGGCCACGGGAAATTCAGAGCAATCCAAATTGGGCTAATCAGGGATTTGAACCTGGATCTCTCCATGACTGCCCCACGCGACCAAGAGAAAGCAAGCTCCAAGCGTCTCGGGAAAAACATTTGCAAAGTAGCATCGTATCTACAGGCCAGGCTTGAGGAGCTCCCTTCTGATTTAAGGAGGGGATCTGATAGTTTCCAGGGTACTGCAGTGGCAGTGACTGACCAGCCAGCCAGTGGCTATACAGTGGGAGATCAGTGCTTTTCCCCAGAGCAGACTGCTCCCTGCCTTCGACTGCAGTGTTCTCTGGGCTCTCCCTTGTCTGCAATGCAGCCCTTTTAGCAGTGGGCTAATGCATTCCCCCACATGGGAACAGTGGTACTAAACTGCTACCCATGTTTGCAAACCGTCCACCGTGTGTGTCCCTGCTAAGTGATGTACTTTGCTTGCCAAGATACTTGGATAAAATACAGTCTGCTTAAATCTTGTATGTGCTTGTATTGAATCAAACTAAGCCATTGTGGCAGTTCAATATACTCCAGTCGCAACGCCTCTGAGATGGAAGAAATGAACCTGAACAGGCCATTGGGAGCCTGAGTTAAAACTGGCTGCATCAAAGATGCCAGCGGGATGGTCTGAGCTGAGGGGATTACAATGACGGGCAAAACGCAGGGTCACTAGCTTCGCTGGAGCTGTATTCCCACAAGCGTAGGTGCAGTCACCCTGCGTGCTCTGCCTGGCAGAGGGAGAGGGCGTGGTGGGTCAGAGCACTTGCTGATGTGTCAGGCAAGTAATGTGGTCATTATGGTCTCTGCTTCCTCCTAGGGGCTTGGGCCTAGCACGTGGTGTTGTGAGCCTTGGGGGGCTTGTGGATGAAGGGTCCTTTTCTGCTGGGGGATGGTTCAGATGCTGTGGCACTGAGCAACTTCTGCTTGGCTGAAGCAAGGGACTTGCTTGACAAGTGGATGCAAAGGAAAGCAAGGCTCTGGATACACAGGAGGCATTTCTCCCTGGAGGGGTGGGATGCATTCTGTTGCTCGCTGCCCCAGTTTGATTTGCTCTTCTTGAGGAGGATTTGTGAACTCTGTGGAGCAGCTCCCTAGTTCTTATCTCTGCCTACTCACCTTTGCTCTGTGTTGCAGGTTTCCTTCCAAATGAGTCCCTGAAGTTCCTGCTGGCAGCTCCAGCAGTGTCCTGTAGAAGTATCCTCTTGCTCCTGGTCTCAGCAGCCGAGGCCCCTCCAAACCTGCTTCTGCAATGGGTGGGTTGTAAGCACTGGTAAGACCTACGAGTCGTGTCGCCTTCGCTGCTCTCTCCCTCTCTCGCGTTCTCTCTCTCTGTCCTTGCTCCTTCTTGCCCATTTATTTCTGTTCTCCATGTGCTCTGCTGTTCTGTCTCTGGGGTTTTCACTGTCAGGTAATGAGGAGCTGTGGGTCCAGTCAGTCTTGGAGATGCCGAAGAGACGAGACATCCTGGCTATCGTGCTGATAGTTCTGCCCTGGACACTACTAATCACCGTCTGGCACCAGAGCACCATTGCTCCACTGCTTGCAGTGCACAAGGGTGAGAGAAATCAAACCAGCCCATGCCAAGTCTGTGCATCCCTCCCTCGTCCTCATCTCCTCTCTCATTTCATTTCTCCATGGCAGCCATGCTCATCTCAGCTCCCAGTCCATGCTCATGCAGAAGCACCCCCACTTCTGCTGCAGGAACAGCCCAGTGCTTATAGGGTTTCTTCAGAGACATCAAACTCCAAGCCATGGGATATGCTTACTGCACTTGGAGAGCTCTTTATGGCCTAAAGCCAGAGTACTGAAGGAAGATGCTTTTCTTTGTTCCCTGATGATCCATAAGAGGGGAGTCCCTTCCTGCTGGCGTTTGCAACATTCTGCACACAAGTTAGTCCAGCAGGAAAGCTGCAAAAAAGAGAGCAGAGGAAACAAAGCTGCCACTTGAGACAGTTGCTCTGGGAGACAGGAGGCAAAGAGCATTTTTTGAGTGTCCTCAGGAAAGGAGCAAACTGGTGCTCTTGCACTTGAAGGAGAAGGCAAGAGCCAGCATCTCCCCTGATTGTTTGGTGGAGTTACAATGCTATGAGAGAGTCAGCTTCCATGCTACCTGTCACACAAAGAATTAAATAGAGCCCTGGCCCAAATCAGATGAATGCAGGAAGTTCTGAGGGATCCTCTCTGGCCAGAAGGATCCTAGTTTTTATCCTGTTCTTGGCATAGCAGCAATATCTAAGGGCTGCGAGAGCTCTTGGGGGCTGGAAGAAGCCATGCTGCTTACTGCGGTCTTCATTCTTGGTTCTGCCCTTCTGCTGAGCACCAGGGCAGGTGGGTCAGCATGGGGAGGCTTGTCTGTGGGGAAGGCAGCCAGCTCATTTTCCCTCTCTGGTCCCTTTCTCTGGGAGATTCTCTCCCCTTTTCATTTTAATGTTTGCACCCATCCTCCTCAGTTGCTTATCCTTTTGCTGAACAGTCTGATGTGCAGTCTGAATTGTCAGAAGTTCAGAGTCTGTCCCCAGCAGCTTTACCTTTCCCCCTGGAAGACTGACAGCCACCCATAAGGCTTTGGGTAGTTCTTAGGGGAAAAATGACTGTGATCCCCTCTGGAAGGTGGACAGTGTTTCAGAGGATGAGGGATCTACTGGGCTCTAAAACAGGACTTGAAAGACTACTAAGAATACGCTGTCTGTATACCAGTTTGATTCAATGCCCTAAAAACTAGGAGCTGTTTTTTGTGAATGGCCACGGACACTGAAGCACAGAGACTGCTCTGCTCTGACTCAGTCCTAAACTTACCACGAGCTTCGTAAAACACTTCCTCTGCCTCTGCTTCTCTGAGCCCCCGGTGGAAAATGAGTGGTGATAGAGACCAACCTGAAAGCTCTTGGGAGAAATCATTTTGTTCTTTTAGTGCATTTCTGAGATCCTTTGGTAGCAGGTGCTGAAAAAGAGATGTGCATCTATACACTAGTGAGCACAGAACGGCAGTTCTTACACATGACAGGATTTACAGCTGAGGGTTTGACCTGCAGGGGTTTGCAAACTCTCAAGCACTGTCCTGGCTAATTACATTTGTGTCTGTGTCCAATGCATTTTGCATATTTATTTTTGAATTGATTCCAGTGTTCTCTGCTTTCAGAGAGCTCTGCTATGTGATGCTGATGTGCTTTGCCTTATATACGGCCTGGTACCAACATGTGCAGGACACCTTGTCCCTGTCCCCCTGCCCCTAAATATATACCCTCCTCTGTCAATGCCATGGAGTACGAGGCCTTCATTTGGTTCAGGGCTGGTATCAAAGTCTATGCTGCTGGAAGAGTAACATGCTATGAAAAAACCATAGGTAGTACCCTGCTGGGTCAGATCTAATGTCTGTCTGTTCCTGTTCTTTCTCACCTGAAGTTCCTGGTAGTAGCTGGTTTTGCAAAATCTATGGCTCAAAGTATTATGTGCCCACTAGAGAGCAGCTGGCTTATATCCTGAATGGAGGTGCCCCTTCATCTCTACCAGTTCTAACTGTAGACCGTGGTATTCCTGCT